GTTCTCTTTCCTTTTCCCCCTGATTCAACGAAGCCTTGATGACCCCCAACTCGGAAGTGAGTGCTCGAACCTGTTGTTCTAAGGCACTCTTGTTCTCTTGTAAATCCTCCACGTCGAGTTAAACACTGCCAAACTGTTCCTTCCAGTTGTTTGCCTCAAACTGAGAATCACGTGCTACCTTCTCCAAGAGGGAGATTTTGCTCAAAATCTTTTACAGAATGGAGAAAAGTAGGAAAGAAGAATACCTTTAAAGTGGCATGCACTATGTCATTCATGAGGGTCAGGTTGCTGTGGCTTTCAAGTTTTGTTTTTTCAATGGGGCCAATCAAAGGCTCGAGCCAAATATCAGCCTGACCAGATTTTCTCAAGAGGCTGTTGTTAGCAGGAACTTCAATGGTTACGCTCCTCATAGTAGTACTCTTGCTTGAAGAGCCCACCTTCGTATGGTGAACGATAGATGGAGGAACAGACAAAGGAGGAGCGATAGAAGGAGTAACAGAAGCAACAGTTGATGAAGGTAAAGGAGCAATCATAGGTACGGGAGATGAAGAAGAAGATAAGGGAATTTCATCTAGAATAGGTCCTAAGTTTTCACTACCAAAACCACTAGCAAAAAGTTGATCGATAGACTCACGAGTGTCGTGAGGAGAGACGTCATCATCAGGAATGATAACTGGAGTAATAACAGACTTGGAGGGAGATAGATGAGGGGAAACTTTAGCCTCATCATCAGAGACGATACGTCTCCAGGCTCGAGGTCTCCTCACCAGGGAACCCTCATCTTCCTCCTCTGAATCTTCTTCTTCAGTTTCAGTAGTTTTTCTTTTTGAAGAACTCAAGAATACATCTTGGGCTGAAGAGGTGCGAGTACTCAAAGAGTCACGAGCGCTATGATTGACTCTGCGGTGACCCCACGAATAGCGAATCCTGATAAAAAGAAGGATAAAAGTTAGAACAAAGAAGATATTTAGATACAGACAAGGTAAAATAGAAACCCTTACCATGAGTTTTTACTTTCCAACCATAATGGCTGGAAAGGTTTTTCCACGACCTACCCTCCATTGGAGCGGCCTTCAACAATTTTCCTACCCAACCACGGAAGTTGGGCACGGTTCCACAACGCCCATGGTTGCTGAGAAAGGAAAAAAGAAGCGACATTAGAAAAAGGTGATAAAACCTGAAAGGGAAAGGCACGAGGAAGATTTAACACTTACGTGCAAAGTTCCACTTCTCGGGGAAGGGAATGTTATTTTCACCCACTAAACCAGCAGTGGGGCAGCAACAAACCGGGCATACCAGCCACGGTCTTTATCGTCCTCGGGGCTCACTAAAACCCTCTTGCTCCTAGCTGCTAGGGTAAAAACGCCGTTGCGAAAAAGCCTAGGGGAATAGAGATGAATTAGGTTGGGGAAAAGTAAATTCGGCATCCGCCAAGTTAGTGGGTGCCTTAAGCAGGCGACTGCCCTCCAAACGATTGGGCCAATTTGACCCAAGCTAACATTAAAAAAGCGACAAAAAAATCCAGAATAACTGGATCAATGGCTGGTTTAAATCCTAAAGTAAAGGGATACGTATAAACAAAAGAAAATCCAGTAATGTAGGAGGTGATTCTCTGATTTGGATTAGGAATGATGATAGGGAAATCATCACTCCAATGACAATCTCTACGAACTATGGGGATTAAAGGGTCAGTAATTTGAGAAGGATAAGTATCAACTCGATTTAAAGAGGCGACTTGAGTTCTGAGAGATTCCCTGTCATGGTAAAAAGATAAGTCCGTTGGAACTATTTCTTCCACAAAAGGTTCGCGTAAGGGTTCAGAGGATTCTTTGTTTCTGGAAGAAAACCTTTGAGAATGGGAACCTCCAGTTCTAGAAGAAGGGCCAGAACTAGAAGAAGGTGCGAGTGAACTACCACCACGAACAGATCCTAAACTACGGAGTCTACCACCACCACCTCTTCTGTGGCTAATGGGAGCATTGGGAAAGCTGTCTAAAATAGGAGTTCTTCTAGGGTTAGGGTTTGGAGAAGCAATGACAAAGAAGATTGAAGTGAAGAAGAAGTGAATAAAAGTTTTGAAAAATTAAAGTGTTCAATACGCTTTAAATGGTAGAAGGCAAAGATGAAAGTTATATTTATACTAGTGAATGACCGTCAGAAGGAAAGAGTATAGTGATGGGAAGTCCATAATAATGATAACTGACACTTCGTGGACAGGGAAGCCGAAAAGAAAGGAAGAAAGCCTAAGAAAGTACTGTACAATTGTATGACCAATAAGAGGATGACACGTGTCCAGCGCATTAAATGAAAGTAATAAGTGAAGCGTCAAACTCTGTCAGAGCATTAATGGTGACAAAAATTCTCCCTTAATGAATTCCACTTCCCAAATATTCAAACTGATGAATAAATGGAAAGTGGGGGGACTATCTGTATTGAGGAAAATTATATTTATGTATATGGCGACGTGTCATGACATATACACTGGTCAAACAGTCAATGAAATAAGGTTGGTTAACAGATACGAGCAACAACAGATACGAGCAACAACAGATACGAGTAAATTAAATGGAGGGGGTGCGAGCAGTCATACAAGTAATTCAACGCTCGTACCTATTCAAGACATTTAAAACTCAAAGATAGTGAAGAATCAAAGGAATGAATCTGACAGCAAAAAGGAGTCCAGATACAACATTTAATGAGTATTAATTATTGGAAACGTTAGAAAATATGTATTTAATGTATATGATTGTATAACGTAACATTTAAAGCCATTAATTGTCCATAATAGCATTATTATGACAAAGGTAAGACTCGTATCCCAAAATAGCTATAAAAAGGGAAGAAACAAACAATTGTAGGGGGAGGTGACTATTGGAATATACTTTGATTTACCAGCTTTCATACTTGGCTATTCTAAAATTTCTTTCTTTATTTACTTTTTCGATTATCAGTAACCCGATTCTTTTAATTTCTAGCTTTGACTAAAAACCTATTTTTTGGTTAAACAACTTGGGATTGAAGTTTTGATTACAAAATTAGTTTACTGACTTTTGTGATGTTTAGGTAAAGTTAGAATGATATTTCTATCATAAAAATTGGTTTAGTGGTTTTAACGCAATCATCTACGAAACAGAGTAGTCCAACTAAAATGATTTTACTCGTTCCTGATAAATTATACAAAGATATATGCAGTCAATTTTTCGTATATGCAATTTGATCCGAAGGCGGCGGGTACGAAACAAAAGAAGAAAAAGGTAAAATTTTCATGTGGCGTCCAATTTTGTGCTATTGATCGAATATGTATCAACTGTTATAAAAAAGTTTCACTGAAATTCAATTTTTTGTAACTTTAGATACGTACATTTTTCTCTTCTTCTGCACTGCCGCTTTCTTCTTCTTCTTTGTGTTTAGGGTTTCTTCTTCTTAGTTGCAAAATAAATTTGTTAAATTTGTTGTTGTTTCAACAACTTAATGATTGTGATTTGTTTTTTATGATATTGAAAGTTATATTTCAAATTTGAGCTAATTTGGAGTAGATTTGGGTATAGAATTGGATTACTAAAATTCAAAGAACAAATTTATGTTTCAGAACTTTAGATTTTGAATTCGATTTTGAATCTTAAGTTGTCTAAGTTGTATTGATATATTGAACTACTTAAGATTTGAATTTCCGAAGTTGCAATTGAAAGATAGAAGAACTTCAGATTCGAAATTTGAAGTGCTTTGAAGAGCTTGAACTACTTAAGATTTAAATTTCTGAAGTTGCAATGGAAAGATAGAAGAACTTTATATTTGATTTCTGAAGTTGCATTAAAGAGATTAAACTAATTTAGAAAAGGTTCCATGGATGAGTACTTTCTTTTATTTTATTGTGATACCTAAAAAATAGCTCAGTATTCGTCCTTTATTTTATTGATATAAATTTTATTTCTTGTGATAATGTATTTCTTCTTTATTTTCAATTTTTTTCATGTTTGATGATTATTTTTGTCAACAACATTTAGTTAAATAAATCATTCGACATCATGAAAAGAAAGTACTCATTTTGTTGAAATAAAAGAAAATACTTTTTTCATCTGAAAATAAAGTACTCTAATTGATATTTTTATATATTTAGGTGGGGAGGGGTTGGGGTAGGGTGGGTGGTGGTTGGGTGAGAGGAGGGGGTGAGGTGGGGATGGTGTGGGGTAGGGGTTGGGTGGGGTGGTGGGGGTTGGTGGGGATGGGAGAAGGTCGAAAAGAGTTTGGAAAATGTTTTCTCTTTGATACGAAAATATTTCCTCAACTAGAGAAAACGAATTCATAAAGAAAATATTTTTCAAACATTTAAACTATCNAACTGGATCAATGGCTGGTTTAAACCCTAAAGTAAAGGGATACGTATAAACAAAAGAAAATTCAGTAATGTAGGAGGTGATTCTCTGATTTGGATTAGGAATGATGATAGGGAAATCATCACTCCAATGACAATCTCTACGAATTATGGGGATTAAAGGGTCAGTAATTTGAGAAGGATAAGTATCAACTCGATTTAAAGAGGCGACTTGAGTTCTGAGAGATTCCCTGTCATGGTAAAAAGATAAGTCCGTTGGAACTATTTCTTCCACTAAAGGTTCGCGTAAAGGTTCAGAGGATTCTTTGTTTCTGGAAGAAAACCTTTGAGAATGGGAACCTCCAGTTCTAGAAGAAGGGCAGAACTAGAAGAAGGTGTGAGTGAACTACCACCACGGACAGATCCTAAACTACGGAGTCTACCACCACCACCTCTTCTGTGCCTAACGGGAGCATTGGGAAAGCTGTCTAAAATAGGAGTTCTTCTAGGGTTAGGGTTCGGAGAAGCCATGACAAAGAAGATTGAAGTGAAGAAGAAGTGAATAAAAGTTTTGAAAAATTAAAGTGTTCAATACGCTTTAAATGGTAGAAGACAAAGATGGAAGTTATATTTATACTAATGAATGACCGTCAGAAGGAAAGAGTATAGTGATGGGAAGTCCATAATAATGATAACTGATATTTCGTGGACAGGGAAGCCGAAAAGAAAGCCTAAGAAAGTGCTGTACAATTGTATGACCAATAAGAGAATGACACGTGTCCAGCGCATTAAATGAAAGTAATAAGTGAAGCGTCAAACTCTGTCAGAGCATTAATGGTGACAAAATTCTCCCTTTAATGAATTCCACTTCCCAAATATTCAAACTGATGAATAAATGGAAAGTGGGGGGACTATCTGTATTGGGAAAAATTATATTTATGTATATGGCGACGTGTCATGACATATAGACTGGTCAAACAGTCAAAGAAATAAGGTTGGTTAACAGATACGAGCAACAGCAGATACGAGCAACAATAGATACGAGTAAATTAAATGGAGGGGGTGCGAGCAGCCATACAAGTAATTCAACGCTCGTACCTATTCTAGACATTTAAAACTCAAACATAGTGAAGAATCAAAGGAATGAATCTGACAGCAAAAAGGAGCCCAGATACAGCATTTAATGAGTATTAATTATTGGAAACGTTAGAAAATATGTATTTAATGTATACTCCCTCCGGTCCAAAATAAGTGATTTTTTGGCCTTTTTCTTGTGGTCCAAAATAAGTGATTTTTCCAGATTTCAAGAATGGATTAATTATTTTTTTCCTACATTGTCCTTGAAGTAAATGATGTTGGAATATGTGTTAGGAGTGTTTATGTGAGATAGTAAAGGTTAATATGGTCAATTCCATTGCTAATTAATGCTAAAAGGTGAATTTCTTAATTTGCGTGAAAACATCCAAAAAATCACTTATTTTGGACCGGAGGGAGAATGATTGTATAACGTAACATTTAAAGTTATTAATTGCCCATAATAGCATTATTATGACAAAGGTAAGGCTCGTATCCCAAAAGAGCTATAAAAAGGGAAGAAACAAACAATTGTAGGGGGAGGTGACTATTGGAATATACTTTGATTTACCAGCTTTCATACTTGGCTATTCTAAAATTTCTTTCTTTATTTACTTTTTCGATTATTAGTAACCCGATTCTTCTAATTTCTAGCTTTGACTAAAAAACTTATTTTTTAGTTAAACACTAGGGTCATTGACTTGAGTTCAAACAGGATCAACGGCAATCCACCCTTTCTACGTGCTGACACAGATCGCTTTGCAAACTGGACAAGTAGTATTACTTACCTTTCACTTGCCAATAATAAACTTACAGGATCGATACCCTCTTCGATATGCAATCTAGATGAGCTTCAGTTTCTTGATATGTCAAACAACTCCATAAATAGCAAAATACCTCCATGTATATTCCAAAAGCTAGCTGATCGTCTCGTAGTGTTGAATATAGGGAGAAACAAACTAAGTGGCATTATTCCTGATACATTCCCGCTAAATTGCAAGTTGAGAACTTTAGAACTCAGCAACAATATCTTAGAAGGAAAGTTTCCAAGATCATTACAAAGATGTGAATTTTTGGAGGTTTTGGATATTGGAAATAACATGATTAGAAGTAAATTTCCATGCATGTTGAAGAAATTTTCCAATTTGCATGTCCTAGTCTTGAGGTCAAACAAGTTCCATGGGAATCTCCAGTGTCCTATTGCTGATCAAACGTGGTCAACGCTTCAAATTGTGGATCTTGCTTCCAATAATTTCAGTGGAGCTCTGCTACCACAATACTTCTCGAACTTAGAAGGCATGACGCGAAGCAGTGTCAATCCGGAGCCAGAGCGCCAGTACTTGGATGTTAAATATAGCAACATATATTATCAAGTCAGGGTGACATTAACTTTCAAAGGTCTTTCAATGGAAACTGTAAAAATTCTTGTAGTTTTTACATCCATTGATTTCTCTTGCAACAACTTTCAAGGGGCGATACCTGAGATATTGGGAAATCTCAAATCACTTCACCATCTTAACTTCTCACACAATGCTTTGACAGGAAGAATACCAAAGTCCGTTGGAAAGTTGACGCAGCTTGAATCCTTAGATTTCTCAGTTAACCAGTTAAGTGGAAGAATTCCAGATGAGCTTGTAGGTCTCACATTCCTTTCTGTCTTGAACCTTCGAAGGGAACACGGGGTTGTGCAATTTTCCTTTAAAGAAAACATGCAGTGACACCAAAGTACTGAGTGAATTGCCACAACCTAGCAGCCACTCTGATCATGAAATAGTTGACGAGAAATATATAAGTTTTCCCTTGGGATCTTCTGTGAGTTTTGGCACTGTAATTTTTGCATAGCCGAAGATATAATGAGCTCGTTGATAGACTTCTTTTCAGAATTTTGGGTCAGCACAAAATGAGTGGAACGAATAAAAGTCGAAGGAGGTCAAGGTAAGTTAAGGTTTGCTGTAGAACAAAAGGCTAGTAAAGTTGCTGCAGTATGATTATTAGCATTTAAGTTCAATGTTTTACATTCTGTGTTCTTGGATAAACCTGCATGTTGTTAAGGTTTGGAGGAGTTCATAATACTCTATTTTTTTCTTTGTTTTCTGTGGACCGGATGTGTTCCTTAAGATTTATTCTGTGTGAAATTAGTGCCTGTTGAATGTTTTTAGGAAAGTGTATTTGAAGTTTGAATCTAAAGAATAATTTTCAGAATATTGGGATGACAATGTGGTTATCATTTTTCAGTTATTAGGATTCCTACCAAATAAACAACTTCTTTACTTTATTCTGATTTTGTTAGCTAGCTGTTTAGAAAGAAAGGTTAAGAAATAACACCTGCTGAAAGTTTTGTTACTGAAGTAATGAAGTAGCAAGCTAGATCAAAATCTTAGTTTTTTTTTAATTTATATAACCTCAAATTATTTATTGTTTATGAAAAGTTGAAGATCGTTGTTTCAAATATCAGTTCAGTTTAACTAATTAAGCCATGCCAATCTGCAGGTTATTGTGAATAGTGCATAATGAGTTGAAATTCTAGGAACCAAGCACTATTAAATCGAACAAAAATGGGACAGAATACACAGATTTTAGGTGCAATAGAGATTAATTTTTAGTCAAATTCATTCAACCACCTACAGATTAAGTATTACCCTTTTGACTGTGTACTGATGACTGAATAAACATACAGGTTTAAACTTTAAGGGAAAGTGCTGGTTAAACATAAGTTGAAGAATAGATATGCTCAAATGCCTTATTTTTGTATTCTTCACCTCATCTCTGGCAAATGTATGATTCTAAAAGCAGTTCTAATAGTGGTTTTGATAATTCAATCTTTTGTGTGTTTTTTTTTTCTCCACATCAATCACAATTTTTTTGGAGATGTGAACCTGATTATATTCAGGTAATGGAATTAATCCAATCATTTAACAGGCTTCCAGTTCATAGCTGAATTGTCTTACTGACAGCCAAACTAAGGCAGGAATGCTTAACCTGTTAAAATACACTGATAGTAAATTTTACACTGTCAGCGCGTATAAGTTTAATCCTTCACTGATAGTAAGTTTTATCCTAGTTGAAAGTGGAGCGTTAGGTGTTTCCAGGGTTATATTCAGATTTAATTTCCCTGGAAATATGGCAGCTAATCTAACTATCTGAGCATTCTAACTCAAAGTATGAGTGTTCCATTCTATTTGCTCTACCCTGCTCTAGGTGAAGTAGCAATGAAATATAATGTTATGACTTCGACTATCAGAAAATTCAAACAGGCTAAAATCCATCAAACGAGTAGCTGAATGATTGGCTTTGGGTGGCAACTTCTAAAATGTCTGGAAATCAGTTGGTCCATTTCCCGTTATTGTTGTTCTGCTAGTTTTAAGGTGTTACTCCTACATTGTGACAGAATCAACATTTTGCTGTCCTTCTATAACTGATTCAATTTTTTAAGACGACTAATATTCTGAATCGGAGGGAGTAGTATTTACTCAGGGGTGAAAGGAGGATAATATAAGTGATAGAATTAAAATAGTTTGGGAGCAATACATGGTATTTATGTGATTTGCATGTAATATGTATTATTACTGTCATTTCGATTCAAGAAAACCATTATTTCCACTACCTAATTAAGAATAATTAAGTTTCATGCATGACACTCCTTTAGGTTGACTTGCTCACGCACAAATCAAGTCAACAGAAAACTACAGAGAGTAAACCAAATATAGGAATTTGTCTTAAGTTAGAGACTAAGGACTAAAGAAGAGAAAAAACAGAAACATCAACTTTGTTCAGACTTTAAAATGTCTGAAGTAGGAAAAATTGGTGATGCTGTCTTGACTTTTTGAAAAATCAGCAACTGCTTGCATTTGGTTGCTTCTTCCTTATCTTTTGCTTCATATTTCTTTGCGAGTGCCGGCCAAGATTATATGTCACCTCCTGATTCCATTTATAGATTCCATTTATATAAAAGTTTATCATTAAAATTCATTACTACACTTCATATTATTGCCTCACTATGAAAATAGCACTCTTGCTACAACTTTTTTTCATCACCACACTAGTGGTATTTCTGATCAGTATTAATATTTCAGTAGTATATGGCCAATGTTTGGGGGATCAAAAAGCCTTGTTGCTTAAACTCAAGAATAGCCTTACGTTCGATTCTTCTTTGTCAACCAAACTAGTCAGGTGGGATCAAAACACTGATTGTTGCCAGTGGCCAGGTGTAAGTTGTGATCAGGAAGGTCATGTGCTTGTTCTGGAACTGGACGACGAAACAATTTCTGGTGGAGTTGAGAACTCAACCAGTCTATTTGATCTTAAGTATCTTGAAAAGCTGAATTTGGCTTATAATTACTTGTACTCTACTCAAATACCAAAAGAAATTTATCAGCTTCACAAACTTGAAGTACCTGAATTTGTCATATGCTGGTTTTGAGGGGCAGATTCCAATGGAATTGTCAAGATTGACAAAGTTAGTGTTCCTTGACCTTTCTAGCATCAAGTTAAAGCTTGAGAGCCCAGATCTAAAATCATTGGTTGGAAACCTATCAAATCTTAGAGAACTTTATCTTAACGGCGTGAACATTTCATTGAAATGGGAGTGGTTGGTGCTCGGCTTTATCTTCATCTCTCCCTCAGTTAACAGTGTTAAGCATGATAGGTTGTAACATTTCAGGCCCTCTTGATCCCGCCCTTCTAAATCTTCGTTTCCTTGAAATCATTCATCTCGATTATAACATGTTATCCACTGTAGTTCCAGAATTTCTAGCAAATTTTACAAAATTGACAACCCTCAGTCTCAGTAAGTGCAACTTGCGAGGTGTATTTCCAAGTAAAATCTTTCAAATACCAACTTTACAGGAGCTTGATTTATATGATGCCTCACTGGAATATTACCTGAATTTCCGAGGGAAGGTTCATTAAGGGATGTAGACCTTAGCTACACGAGTTTCACCGGTTCACTTCCAGATTCAATTTTTAACCTCACAACCTTAACCAAGATTGACGTACGTTCATGCAATCTTAGTGGACATATTCCATTAGCAGTGGAAAATCTCACAAACCTAGCTTATTTAGACTTGTCATTGAACAGTTTTACTGGTTTAATCCCAATGTTTCATAAGGCAAAGAAGCTCTATTACATTGACCTTTCTCATAACAATCTAACAGGTCCACTTTCTTTTGCTCATTTTGAAGGCCTTTTAGACCTTGGTTATCTAAAGTTGGAAAAGAATTCCATTAGTGGGACAGTTCCATCATTTCTCCTTTCCCTCCCTTCATTGCATGTACTTCAACTTCAGAATAATCACTTCAGTGGAGAAGTCCATGAATTTGCTAATGCATCCTCTTCCGTTCTGGAAACACTTGATTTGAGCAATAACCATCTAAATGGATCGATCCCTCGGTCTATTTTCAAACTCAAAAGGCTTTCAGAACTAATACTTTTGTCCAACTCGTTTGGCGGGAGCATTAGTATAGAAGTGATCAAGGGGCTTCCTAGATTAACCGTGCTTGATCTTTCTTACAACAACTTGAGAGTTGATGTACAGGACAGTAATTCGACATCCTTTCACTTTCCCCAATTGAGAGTACTTAGATTGGCCTCATGCAAATTGGCGAAGTTTCTGGATCTTAAAAACGAGTAGAGGATGTCAGAATTAGACCTTTCAGTCAACAACATTCAAGGGGAAATACCAAGGTGGATTTGGAGAGTAGGGAATGAAGATCTGTTTCATTTGAATCTTTCTTACAATCTCTTGGATTCTCTTGAAAAACCGTACCCCATATCTACCACTCTTAAGGTCATTGACTTGCATTCCAACAGTATCAAAGGGGATTCCCCGTCCTCTCTACTTATCTTGTCTACTTTTCACTTGCCAATAATAGATTTACCGGATCAATACCCTTTACCATATGCAATCTAGATCAGCTTTTACTCCTCAATATGTCAAACAACTCCTTAAACAACAAAATACCTCCATGTCTATTCCAAAAAGTTGACTCTTTTAAGGTACTAAATCTAGATAGAAACAATCTAAGTGGAAGTATTCCTGATACATTTCCGCTGAGTTGCAGTTCACAAATTTTAGACCTCAGCAGCAATATTTTAGAAGGAAAAGTTCCGAGATCCTTGGAAAGATGTGCAGTTTTGAAGGTTTTGGATGTTGGAAACAACAAGATTAGAGATACATTCCCATGCATTTTGGCGAAATTACCTAGTTTGCATGTCTTAATTTTAAGGTCGAATGAGTTCCATGGGAATCTCCAGTGTCCTATAGCTAATCAAACATGGCCAAGGCTTTAAATTGTAGATATTTCTTCCAATAATTTCAGGGGAGCTCTGATACCACAATACTTCTCGAACTGGGAAGGCATGATGCAAAGTAGCAATCCAAAGCCCAAGCACCAGTACTTGAATGTCGAACATTTAAACATATATTATCAAGCTAGAGTGACTGTAGTTCTCAAAGGTCAGGAGATGGAGATTGTGAATATTCTTGAAGTTTTTACATCGATTGATACCTCAAGGGGTGATACCTCAAGTATTAGGAGATCTCAAATTGCTATACCTTCTTAATTTATCACATAATGCTTTGACAGGAAGAATACCACAGGCCCTGGGAAAGTTGAGTCAGCTTGAGTCCTTAGATCTTTCAGTTAACCAGTTAAGTGGGAGGATTCCGGATGAGCTTGTAGGTCTCACATTCCTTTCATTCTTGAACCTATCTTTTAATCAACTTTCTGGTAGGATTCCAAGAGGCAATCAATTTCAGTCGTTCTCAGTAGATTCCATTGAAGGGAATACGGGGTTGTGCGATTTTCCTTTAAAGAAAACGTGCAGTGATACCAACGTGAATGGATTGTTACAACCTAACAACCATTCCGAACATGAAATTGATGGGAAGTATATAAGTTTTGCCTTGGGATCTTCTGTGAGTTTTAGCATCATAATCTGGCTTCTTTTGCATAGCCGAAGATATAATGAGTTCATTGATAGACTTCTTTTCAGAATTTTTTGTCAGCACAAAAAGAGTGGCAGGATTAAAAAACAAAGGAGGTCAAGATAAGTATAACTATAAAAGCTTTAAAGATTACTTTTACATTCTTTTTGAAGGAGTTTATAATACTTTGTTCTATATTGTTTTTCCTTTCCTCTACATGGACTTAGTTCCTACTGAGGAATTGTGAATTTAAGGAATAATTTTCAGAGGATTGTGATGATGACGTGTTTATCATTTTTCAGTTATTTGGCTTCTGTAAAACAAACTAGCTCTTTTACTTTATTCTGATTTTGCTAGCTAGCTGCTTAAAAAGAAAGGTTAACAAATAATACTTGCTGAAAGTTTTGTTATTGAAGAAATGAAGTACCAAAGCTACTCAGATCAAAGCTAAGGAAATGGAAACATTAAGACAGAAAATCTACAGAACTGCAACATGAATATCCTATAAAGAGGAATATTGTACAAACTGAGGGGATTTCAAGGATATTTACAGGATATCTTGCACTCACTTTTCACTCACAAGTCACAACCAGACGCCTTCTCTAAAATTCCACTAATTTCCATATACAAATATAATCCTGTAATGTGTAAACCAATAGATGTATGTGTCTCAGGGCGCCAAATGAAATGCCAATGTTGGGAAGAGTGGTTTGAGAATTGATGTAACATGTTATAAATTAATTGTTACTCCTCGCGCTCCATTGACAATACCAGTTGGTATTGTTTCTTGTGGAGAATCTGAGCCATGCCAACCATGTCTTGTGGGATCATATTTCTCGCCATCGCCCCAAAGGGCATAGGCTTCTTCTCCATGTACCGCGTCATCTCCAATCATTAGCTGCTCATCTGACATTCTTAATGGGATAAACAACCTTATCGCGAGTAGTATTATTGTCGTTGCAACTATGTTCCAACCAATGATAAAGAGAGCTGCAACTATTTGCTTAAGGAAAAGCATTCCACCACTTCCACCATAAAATGCACCCCTTGTGTTACTTACTGGAAGAATAATACTACAAAGAGTTGGTTCTGCTAGAAGACCAGTTAATAAACCGCCTAAAAGTCCTGCTACAGCGTGTGTGTGAAACACAGCCAATGTATCATCCACCTGTTATTATACAACAACGAAGATATTAAACTTATTGCGTAAAAGAAATTGCATACTGTCATGTTATGATTTAAAAAATTAACTATTTGGTAAACGTCCATAATAAGTGGGATTAGCAACTAGTAAAATAAGACAGCCAACCTGCTACAACAGTTTAAGATACACTAATTGGGTAAAATTTCTTTACATTGTACTGTATATAAGCTAAATCCTATTTCACATGTGTCTGCGCATAAACTTTTATCATTAGACTATGACTAATTAACATTCTCTTTTACCTCATTTATCACTAAAGATGATAAGTTAATATAATTTGACGTAAATATCAGGTGTGAACAAGTTTCTTCCAATGTTCATAATTGATTAAATCATTGGACCGGCAAGTAAACGAAGTGGGGTATTGGGGGGTGTTGTTATACTACAGATTTTGCTTGTGTACCTAACAAAAAAAGCAAGTTGTTCATAGAGGTGGAGCTAAGATTTTTAGTTTATGTATTTTTTACCATAATCCTTTCTATGTACCAGGTTCTAAATAGTCTATTTATACATATTCAATGAATTTATTAACATAAATACAAAATTTGAGCAAAAGTTTAGGTTTTGCCGAACTCGTAGCTATAAGGCTGGCTTTGCCCTGTTCACACGTGAAGTACTTAATTAGTGCTGACCTACTTTTCTCCTTCATTCGAGTATGACATGGTAAGAGTCGTAGGAACAGGGGAAGGTTGGATAGCAACTTATTTTGACATAAAAACTTTTCAATTTCAACAACCATATATGAATACAATTACCAACTCTAAGACAAGTCTTTATTTGTTTATTTTAAATTTTTTTTCTATGCCAAGTCTTTAGAATGGAATGTTAATAAAGTACAATATATAGTACCTGCTGTAGAAAAGTGGACTTTTTGTGGAGGATCATCATTGAGAACCATGGAATGCTACCTGAAAGTATTCCCATTACTATGGCTGCCCAAGCTTGCACCACTCCTACATCAATAAGCAATAATAACAACATGTTATAATAGCTTAGTTATCATTTTTATCAGGATACCAATTAATCTAATCATAGAGATACAATTCTAATTACCTCACGTTATTGCGTGTAAATATCATTTAATTTATACTGTTAGTGTTGGAAAATTGCTATTGAGTCGGGTCCTCCATAAGGGGTGCTAATTAGCTTGTTAACCCATTAGCTAGTCCTCCTTCTAAAATCCTAGTACGAGCATATATAAGTTGAAAGGGACGCTTTTCACTATACTAGAGACGGCTAGGGTTAGATTCTCTGCATTCATCGAAGGGATTTTTAGGTTGTGGAAACAAGGGATTTCATCTGTCTTGTGAGGATTCCCAGCGACCAGTAATTCGTGTCGTGGTTACTACAGAAGATCCGCTTCCACAAGGAGAAATCGGTGAGTCTCTTAACTAGCATTTACGAGCTAAATACTTCAGTTAGTGCATAGAACTTGAACTCGTCTTTTTTTAGCAACATAAGGAATTGAAATTACCTGCTCCAGGAGTTACACAAGCGAGGCCAGTCATCATACCCTGAACAGCTCCAATGACTGATGGTTTGCCAAAGTAAAAAACATCAAGGGTTGTCCAAACAAGAAGACTAGTAGCTGCTGAAATATTTGTGTTTAAAACAGCTAAAGGAGCAGCTACATTTGCAGCATTAGGTGCTCCTCCATTGAAACCTGACCAACCCATCCAAAGTAGCCCCGCTCCTGCAAGCATAAGCAACACATTGTTTGGTGGAAACCTTTCCCTATCACTCTTCAATCTTGGCCCAACCTGAGATCAATATATCCAACCATTTGAGTAAGATAACTAAAAGAAGATTAAGAAAGAACAATAACAAACAAACAACAATAACAACAAATCCAGTGATTTCCCACAAATGAGGTCTACGGAGGGTATAATATACGCAGTCTTACCCCTACCCTAGAAGGCAGAGAAACTGCTTCTGATAGACCCTCGGCCGGAGAAATGACGTAAAAGAGTAATGGCAAGAAAGAACAATAACACTAATTGGTAAATTTTGGAACTTCAAAAGTCTATAAGAGTCTATTCTTCCACATATATAAATGTTGGAGGAACATACATAGGAAACAAGAATAAGAGGAGGAGCCGATTTTGAGTTGAACATAATCAATTGCTTTCAGTTCGAACCATGTATACTTATATACAATTTTTTTATTAAAGTGTACACATATAATAGATCATGCCAGTGGTGGATGGAGATCAACAGGCTGAACTGAAGCATTTTCGGAGATATGTATGTAAAAATTCCCTAAAATTACAAAAAATAACAAATTTTGAACATATTATTATCAAAATTAAATGTAATGAGTTTAGTAGTAGAACCTAAAATTGAACTCATCAAATATAATCTCTGAATCCGCCTCTGAGTCATTCCCACTCATAATAAACTAATCACTCCGACAATGAACAAATTGACTTTAATTTTTGGATCTATTTCTCTCAAGAAAGTGTAATAACATGGTAAAACAGAGTTTTATAGAAGGAATCAAGGAAAGAAAAGACAGAAAAATACCCAATAAGCAGCAGTGAATCCAGAAATTCCAGCAGAGAGATGAATAACATAGCCACCAGAATAATCAATAACACCCCAATGATAAAGAAAACCACCACCCCAAAGGCTAAAAGCTCCAACCGTATAGCAAAAAATAAGCCAAAGAGGAACAAAAGCCATCCAAGCTTTAATATTCATACGACCAAGAACAGAACCAGCTAATAAAATCATGGTAATTGCAGCAAAAGTGAAATGAAAATAAACATGTGCAGCCATAGGATAAAAAGGTTCAAGCATAGGAGATTCAATATTCCCATTGCTATAATAGTGTGTTGTCTCAGGTACTCTTGCACGTCCGATTAAGTACTTTTGGCCTAAAGCAGGAGCGCCTTTTGCCCAAAAGGGTAAAAGCTTATCGCCAAAGGCGATACGATAGCCAACTAAAACCCAACAGATGAGAACAGCTGCAAATGCGTAAAGAGCCATGAAAGCTGAGTTAACTGCCCATTTTTTCTTTACTATGCTAGCGTAAAGGATGACGAGGCCGGGCATACTTTGAAGGCCGACAAGGGTAGCAGCGGTCATTTGCCACGCGTTGTCGCCTTTGTTTAGCCATGGCGGTACTGCAGGTAAGTCTGTTTGATAAGCTCCTGGTAAGGACATGGCTTTAGTTTCAGAGAGGCCAAAATAATTCTTGATCAAATAGATGCGGTTTATGTCTTTTCTTCTGTTTTATATAGTATGGTATTCAATGTGTTGTTAAGTGGAGAAACTAGAGTTGACCAAGCTTACACTTGTTGTTCATAAGTTTCTTTATATTATTAGGCTACTCAAATTATCTTACAATAACGTGTAGAGTACTAATTGTTTTTATATCAATTTAATATTATAATAATAATAATAATAATAATAATAATAAAAATAATAATAATAATAATAATTATAATAATAACAACAACAACAACAACTTGTTATATTTGATTAAATTGCACGATGGTAAAAAATATGTTACGTTTGTTAGTGTATATAATTTTAATTCATTAGGACATAGAAAAATGATGGGTAAGTAACTAGAGTAATTAAGTAGCCTTTCGATCCAGGAGCAAATTAGAGTATATATAGTTTAAGCTGCCAATAATAGTGTTTAAATTTTTTATATTATCATCAGATTAAGTTAACATTTTCATTTTCCTTGAGTCGAGTGTATTTTGTCTATTTTTCCAAGGTAAGTGTAAGGTCTGTATTATTAGTGCAAATGGAAATGTATTTGTACACGTGACTTATTTAATAGATAGACAATTAGTTAGTTAGTTAGGGTGGTTACTAGCTGTTAGTGAGCTGTCATTAGTGGAAGTAGTTAGTCTGTATATACGCTTTGCTACAGTAGCTTTGCAATGGAACAGTTTCATTTCTCAAATCCCTTTCTCTCTTCTCTTCTCCAGCTTCTCTCTAATGGCTTCCATGGATGAACACTGTTCTCATCCACAATCTAACATGGTATCAGAGCAGCCGATGCTGTGTATTCACGCAATTTGATTTCATTTTTCCAGGCTCAAATTCCTCAATCCTCTTCGCACAAATCTTTACTTTTTTCATTTTCGAGGTTTTTTTGTAGTGAAACAATGGTGACTGACTCGACGACTGAGGAGCAGACACTTGCATACACACACCCTCTATACCTTGGACCTTCTGATACTCCCAGCGTAGTATTGATTCCGATTAAGCTTACCGGATCTGAAAACTATGGGCTTTGGAGTCGAACGATGAAGATCGCTCTTTTGGGGAAGAGGAAGCTAGGGTTCGTGAATGGTACTTGTACCAAGGAGAATTGTAACTCGGAATTGAATGAGCAATGGGAGACTTGTAATGCTATTGTACTCTCATGGTTGATGAACAATGTATCCACCGAGCTTTTGAGTGGAATTGCTTATGCGACGAATGCTCATCTGGTTTGGGAGGATCTGAGAGAGAGAGATTCGATAAGGTCAATCGCATGCGCATCTTCCATCTACACAGAGCCATCAACACTCTATCTCAGGGTACTAACTCTGTATCCACTTATTTCACGAAATTGAAGAGTTTGTGGAATGAATATGATGCTATGGTACCAACTCCCAATTCCAAAGACTATGTGGATCATATGCAGCAACAAAGATTGTTGTAGTTTCTTAGTGGTTTAAATGATTCATATGATGCAGCAATGAGGGAAATTCTGCTGAAAACTAGTGTTCCTTCACTCAATCAGGCATATGCTATGATTATTTAGGATGAAACTCACAATTTGCCTAGTCTAAATACAGCAGGAGTTAAGTCAGATCCAATGGCTATGCAAATTAATCAAGGGCAGGGTTACAAAGGCAAACGACCTTTTATGCAATGTGACTATTGCAATCTGAAAGGACATACTAAGGAGAATTGTTATAAGCTGATGGGGTACCCTACAGACTTCAAGAATAAGAAGAAGTTTGGACAGGGTGCCAGTGGTTCTGGAACTTAGCAAGGGGTCAATACAGGAGGCCACAACAACAACAAGCTTTAGCTGCGATGAATAATATGTCTAGAAACAGTGAGGCTTCATTGACAAACTCTGAGGGAAAGGAACCTATTGCAGGAATTTTTTTTCACTGATGAGAAATATCAGCAAATTTTGGCATTGCTAAACAAGGAGACTAGAGATAGTCATGCAAATTTGGCAGGTAATGCTACCTGTTTCATGTCACAGATTCAGAAGAATGATTGGATTGTGGATTCTGGTGCCACACATCATATAGCTGCAAGTCTAGATATGATATTAAATAGCATTAATATGGATGTCTCACCTAGGGATAAGATTAGCTTACCTACTGGAGATAAGGTGGATATAACCTATCCTGGTCAGGCATCTATTTTCAAAGGAGAGATGATATCCAATGTTCTTTATGTGCCTAACTTTAAATTCAACCTCCTATCAGTCTCAAAAATAACTAGAGAACTCTCTTGCTTTGTAGCTTTCTTTCTTGACTTCTGTATATTTCAGGATCTATGCATTGGCTGGGTGAAGGGGATTGGTAAGGAGTCAGTTGGCGTATACATTTTCAGGTCTGAGGATGACAAGAATAAGTTTCAAAAACATGTTCTGGTGGCAAGTACAAATAAAGAAGACTGTAGATTATGGCATATGAGACTAGGGCATCCCTCTATTACTGCTATGAAGAGTATGAGTTTACTAAGTCACAATGTAAATAGTTCAGTTTTGAATAATTGTCCAGTCTATCCTCTGGCTAAACAAACTAGGCTGAAGTTTCCTATAAGCAACTCTAGAGCTATAACACCATTTCATCTTGTACATATGGATCTTTGGGGACCCTATAGAAATCCTACTTTTGATAAGAAATATTATTTCTTAACCGTTGTGGATGATCACAGTAGGTTCACTTGGGTTTTTCTATTGCAGTTGAAAACTGAGATGATAGTTGCTATTACTAACTACCTATTGTTGATAAAAAATCAGTTTGGCTTAATGGTTAAAACAGTAAGATCAGATAATGGCACTGAATTTTTCAATTCACAGTGTACTAAGCTATTTCAGGACCTGGGAATTGTGCATCAAAGCAGCTATGTTCATACTCCACAGCAGAATGGCATTCTGGAAAGAAAGCACACGCACATATTGGATGTGTCTAGGGCCTTGAGATTTCAAGCCAACTTACCTATCAGATACTGGGGACTATGTGTACAAGCTGCAGTCTACCTATTGAACAGACTACCTTCTACTGCTATACAAAGAAAGAGCCCTTTTGAACTCCTATATGGCAGACAAGCATCTCTCATGCACTTGAGAGTAATAGGTTGCTTATGCTATGCAACACTGCTTCCCAAAGGCGACAAATTTGGTGAAAGAGCTAAAGCCTGTGTGCTTATGGGCTGTTCTAGCACACAGAAGGGCTATCTATTAATGAATTTGTCTACCAAACAATTCTTTGTGAGAAGAGATGTTGTGATCGTGGAGTCAGTTTTTCCTTTTGCACACTTACATACTTCTGAATCTCCTTCAATTACTGACTTTCTCATGCAGGAACCCAAAGTACCTTCTGATATCCCTATTGATGTTCCTACTCAACCAGTTGCAGAAGCTACATCACCATCTGTAGATCAACATGCTAGTGATACAGTTGATGCAGTTGAAGATCTTTCACTTGATTCTCCTACTGAAGCCAATGATCCTGGAGAGTGTCATAATGATCCAATGGATGACTTGCAAGACCTACTTATTGGGGAACCTTCCCACATATGTTCAAGAGATTTTGCAGAAGCAGAAGGAGACACTTCCTCAACTTCAGAAAAACCATCCACACTCAGGAAATCAAAGAGGCAATGTATACAGCCAATATGGATGAAAGACTATGTAGCAACTGAGAAGAATACCAGCAAATATCAGTCCTATTTGGGTATCTATCCTACAATAAAACTACCACTCAATATCATTCCTATTTGGCTAAGTTTTCAAATCTAGTGGAACCTCAATCTTTCAAGCAGGCAGCCAAAGATGAAAGATGGATAGAGGCTATGAAGCAAGAGATTCAAGCTCTAGAGGATAATCACACTTTGGAGGTAGTATTGCTACCCCAAGGGAAACATGTAGTGGGATCCAAATGGGTATATAAAATCAAGTACCATGCTAATGGTGAAGTTGAAAGGTTCAAGGCTAGGCTAGTAGCAAAAGGGTATAGCCAGCAAGAAGGTCTGGATTATCATGATACATTTTCACCTGTTGTGAAGATGGTCACCGTGAGATCAGTGATAGCCTTAGCAGTGTCAAAAGGGTGGAACCTATGTTAAATGGATGTCTACAATGCCTTCTTACAAGGTGATCTTTGTGAAGAAGTATACATGGAAATGCCTGAGGGATTCAGAAGTCAAGGGGAGAAGAAAGTTTGCAAGCTGAGAAAGTCCCTATGTGGACTCAAACAGGCCTCTAGGCAATGGAATATCAAGCTCACAGAAGCACTATTGAGTGCAGGTTTTGTAAAAAGCACTCATGATTACTCTTTGTTCACCCTGAAGAAGCCAAACATGTTCTACATCAATAGTTCAAGATGAAGGACTTAGGGGATCTAAAGTACTTTCTGGGAATTGAGGTACTTAGATCCAAATCTGGTGTAATTCTAAATCAGAGGAAATATGTACTGAAATTAATCTCTGAGCTGGGGTTAAGTGGAGCCAAACCAGCTAGTACACCTCTTGAACCAAACCTAAAACTCACCACAATAGAGTTTGATGCTGCCACAAGAGCCACAGATTATACACTTTTAGAAGATGTTAGTCTTTACCAAAGACTTGTTGGGAAACTAATGCATGTGACTATCACTAGGCCTGGCATTAGTTATGCAGTGCAAACCTTGAGTCAGTTTATGTAAAGACCCAAGAAATCACATTGGGAGGTTGCTATCAGAATTGTGAGATATTTGAAGTGCTCACCAGGACAAGGAGTATGGCTTAAGGCTGAACCTAGTAATACTCTAATATGCTGTTGTGACTCAGATTGGGTTGCTTGCCCAAACACCAGAAGGTCTGTAACAGGTTATGTTATCAAATTTGGAAGCTCCTTGATCTCCTGGAAGTCTAAGAAACAACACACTGTGTCCAGAAGTTCAGCTAAAGCAGGGTATACAAGCATGGCCTCAGGTGTTGCAGAGGTTACTTGGCTGCTTGGATTGTTTCAGGAACTGGGAGTTCAAATCCTTCAACCTGTAGCTATGATGAAT